TCTGTTTTAGATACTAGCTCTCTTGTTTTAATCACCTTCTGCTCTTCCATCAATGAAATAGCATCACCGGGGGCACGTAAAAAGTTGCCTAATTCCATCATTTTCCACCATTGTGTTACTGGCCCTCTCAAACAACTCACATCTTTGTCAGTGCAGCTGAGTGCTCCCACAGCTCTTCCTTCATGGTGGCCATCTACATTAAGATCCAAAATTCTGAGAAAAAAAACTCAGAATTCTAAAAAAAAAAATTCAGAATTCTGAGATTAAAGACAGTATTTTGAGGGAAAAAAGGCAATATTGAACTGAAACTAACTTTTTTTTTGTGGCCCTAATCCTCTTCCATAGAATCCTTTCTAGATCAGGAAATCCAAAATTTATCTAACTTCAATTTAAGATTAATACAGCTTGGCCAATACTTGATTTTTTCAACTTCTGATTCGAAATCTACACCTAACTTATATATTTTACCAAAACAAGTGCCAAAGTTGACACATTAAACATATATAAAGAAATAAATAGCTAGTTTGAGCTTTTATTAACCTGCGTGTTGCTTCCTGTCCGATAATGGAGCTTGCTAGCTTACTGGTGTCAGCTAATGGGCTAACCTGGGTCTAAGAGCGTTCAACATTTGACGAAATAGTAAAAATTCACGCTAAACAAACAAAAAAAAGTGTACACATCGTGTTAGGAGATAATTCAAAGATGTAAATAATGTTACCGCGTTTTAATATCGATAACCCGGCTAGCGTTAGCAACACAGAAAAGCTGAAGTATTTTCGTGTCGACTCTAATAAGCGGCATGTAAACATGACAAGTGACTCAGCGAAAATAACCAAGAGCTGTAGGTTAAATGTTTGCCCACCACCTGTGTAAGACTGTCTGGGCTGTAATGTCAGGCTGGCCTGGCTCACAAATTCACTGAAATTCAATTCACAGAAGGGCCTTGTGCTTTTTGTAGCAACCGTGTGTTTAACATTAACTAACTTCACAACCAAGTAAACTTCATCTTTAAACGGACACGTATTAAAGTTAAACTATTAAAATTGTAGTGTTGGATCATTTGACATGGCTTTTGGGGCCTGTTTTCTTTAGAAACTCAGCTAAACAGAATCTATTGCTAAAACTGTAGCCTTGTAGTCATTAAGCTACTTCCAGCTCGGTCAATACAACGGTCCGTCAACCGGAACTAAAAAACTGACCTTCAGAATAAAAGTCCCAAGCTGATAGCACACATTAGTGCTACTAAACTTCTATAATTAAACAGAATAATCTGTATGGTTTAACAAGGCTTACTTTCCTTTTTTAACTTGTAAAGCAAGTCTCTCTGCAACAGACCTGGAATGAGATTCTTGTGGTATCACAAAAATGTAAAATGCTGCGCAATGTTTTTGTTTTATTTCTAGCAGAATGCAATTTTTAGTTTTCTATGGCTGCTAAAATAATACATCCTATTAATTATGGCAGAACAATTTTTAAGAACTGCATTATAAAAGTATTCAAAATTGAGTTTCCTGTCTCCCCGTCTCACCCTCCGGGACCTCATGATCCTAATGTAAAAAAAATATATATATATATTTTAAAAAGTACAGAATTAAAGGTATCTTTTTATAGGAAAAAGTCCAAAGCCCTTATATCAGAAAGAGGGAGGGAAGTTCTGCTTTAGTGTGCCTTACACATTTAAACAGAGCAAAAATTACTCCAGCCATTTCTCTAACATCTTCTTTGAAGGATATTAAACTGTAGAAACATTACAAGTGAACATCTTAGTTGATTCAAACCCTTTTAATCAGCTCTGGCCTAATCTATCTCCACAATGAGACAGACTTATCTGTACGGAAGAGGATTAGGGCCACTGAAAAATTTTTAAAAAGGTTAACTGTCTTTTTTTCTCAGAATTCTGACTTTTTTCCCCATTTTAAACTGAAATAAAATTTAAAAATCATTTAACTTTTTTTTTTTATTATTTCTTCGGTGGCCCTAATTCTCTTATGTAATTTTGGGACATATATTGCACCTTAATATAATGTAAGATATATTACTAAATAAATTACTTAAAGTAAATTAAAGAGAAAAAAAAGCATATGTACTAAAATCCTCCAAGTGTATTTTTTATTAAATTTGCTGTAGCCTGCACCTAAAGGTCACGTGGTTTCCAAACAAAACTTATTGTATACCCACTTTATTCTGAAAAATTCTAACCGGAAACAGAATGCGAGTCAGGCCAACTTGACCATGTTTTCTTTTTTTAGCTTCAGGGAAGCAACAAGCTATATGTTTCAAATCGGGATACCTCCGCCGCAGGTCGTAATAGATCGAGAGGGAAGCCGTCAGCTCCTACCTTGCATGCTGCTGCTCTGAGTCTGTTGGTGAAGGTGGTGCGACGTGGCCCCCAGAAAGTTGCTGGAGCCCGTGGAGTTGCTATTCGGACTGGGAGTCGCCATTGTTGTGTTCCCAGCAGCAGCCAGCGCTCGGGCTGCAATGCAGAGTGAAACTTGGCCCTCCCCTGCCTGCCTTTCCTTCCAACGGGACACTGCGTCACCTGAACGCAGCACAGCTGCTTTACCGCCTGCTCTGCGCCGCTGCTGCCTTTACGGACAGCCGAAAAAAACAGTTTAACAAATGTTCAAAAATGGTCACATTCAAAAAAACAAAATTATTTCAGCTTAATATATTAATTTACAGTTTAGCGTATAGCCTAATATTTAAAAGTTTCACTACCTCTGTACCTTCTGGTTTATTGTACACGATAAAATAAAAAAACAAACACTTGGTTCTCACAAATCTCTCATACAGTGTTTTTGTCAAAGTTGAATCATCAGAATCTCAGCAGATTGTGCAAGTTGAATCATGGTGTCTAAAAGTCAAGAATAGACTTGCATAGTTTATCAGACAGACCTTATCAGGTTTTACAGTCTCTGGGTGAACTGTAATAAAGACAGCTACAAAACAACATCCATAATTCCCTCACAATCCAAACTTTGTCAGATACATCAGTGTCTGAGGAACAATTCATTTTGCCACTTATGGTTCTGGATGAACTATAACATTTTTTGTACCAAAGAAAAATCTACTGCTTTACAAAATATCTTCAGATAAAACTTAAGACAACATTTGTTTTCCTTTTTTATACAGATAGTATATGCATTTCCATTTCTCAAAGTGCAGCAATGATCAAATGTAAACGTTGTGGGAGAAAAAAACATAGGGCAAAAAAATGCATTGATGTGGTCAGTTTGATGCAGAGTTTGTGACATGATTTAGAGTTTTCTCAATGGTTCAGCAGTCTGATGGCAGTGGGGAAGAAGCTGCTGCAGAACCTGCTGGTCCTGCATTGAATGATGCAAAGCCTCTTCCCAGAGGGTAGCAGGGAGAACAGTCCATTGCTGGGGGTGTTAAAGGTTTAATAATGACACGCAGCTCTGGAATGAAATGTCTTTATTGGAGAGAAGAGGAGCCCCGATGATCCTCCCTGCTGTTCTCACCACTCTTCTCAGTCTGCGGCGCTGCAGCCTCTTCATCATACAGTGAGACAGTTGGTCTCACTGGTCGCTCTCCATGGTGCTTCTGTACACAACACAACTTATGGACTGACTGTGTTACATATTTATAATAACGAGAAAACATAGTGATGCAGACATTAAAGTACATTTCATCTCCTTGGATGAAATTGGTAAATACAAAAACATACTCAGGGTTTATACAGGAATGA